CAGACGACCTGCGGGCGCAAAGGTACCGGCCGTGATGCAAAGGTACCGGCGCCGCGGTGGAAGGAGCTGTCTCGGCGGAACTAGGCAAGTGTCTCGAAACTCTCTCGGAGGCGTCTCGGAGGCGTCGCTCCACCTCCGGGTAGACAGTCTGCACCAAATCGATCGCCAGCTGCGGCTGCATCGCCGCCTGCGCGCGCACACACGGAGGGGTCAGCACCCCTCGACAAACCTCAGCCAACCTCGGTGGATCCGGTCTCGGCCCATTTCGGCCAGACCTCGGCCTCCCTCTCCGCCTCGCTCCGCCTCCCTCTCCCTTCTCTCCGCCCCCCTCGGCGAGTGCTGCCTGCGCGAGGTCGAAATGGATCATACCCTCGGCGGGCGTCGCCGCGTAGGTGCCCACGCAGTTGCGCGCGCCAAAGGCCTCGATCAACGCGCCGCCCACCTGCCCCGTGCCTCCGATGACCAGCACGCGGCCACGCGGCGCGTAGCCGCACAACTTGGGCCTGGGGAAGCACACCAAAGTGAGGGTATGACATACAACGAATACAGCTAGCTGGGCACAGTTGATTTGCTTAGAGCCGAATACGAGATATTCCGTATACCGCATCTAGTAGCGCGGGCCGTCGTACCGACAGGAAGGGCGCCGCCTCGTCCTTTTGCGGGGGGGTAGGCGGCGGTGTAGGTTAGGCGGCGGTGAGGGCGGCGGCATTAAGGACAGGGGGGGAGGAAGATGGCGGGGAGGAGAAACGCAAGGCAGGAGAGAGGCAGTGGGAGGAGAGAGGCAGTGGGGAGAAGAGAGTCGCAGGGAGAGGCGCCTTGGCAGACATCACCGGCACCACCCCCTCGGGCACCGGCCACTGGACGTTGACGAGCGGGTCGAAGGGGTGGGTATCCGCCTGAGGTGGGCGTGGCGTCTTCTTTACGTCTCGGGTGTCTCGGGGGTGGTGTCGGAAGTGTGTCGGAGAGTTTCGGGAGTGCCGGGAAGGGGAAGAGGCGGAGCACACGCCTCCTTGGCGGGGTTGAAGCATCCCTCTTGCAGGTACAGAGCGCACGTGTCGTCCTCGAAGGTGAAGAAGCCGTGCCCGCAGCCGCCAGGCACAAACACCTGCGGGCGCCGGGCACAAGGAAAAATTGTTACGGACAGCGCATGGGCGCGGCACGCGCGGCGGCTGCACGGGCGGCGGCGCAGTGGCGACGGCGGCTCAGCGGCGGCGGCACTCCTGCTTCTTGTTCTTGTCTGTGAGCAGGATGCCACACCACCGGCCAAACGTCGGCGAGCCGTCGCGGAAATCGGCGATCACATCGTAGAAGGAACCGCGAACGCAGGTGATGAACTTGCCGTGCGGCGAGCAGTGCAGCCCTCGCAGCGCGTGCTTCTGCGACGATGAGAAGGACACCTGCTTCCACCGCTCTCCCGGCGCAGAGAGGCCGTCATACTTCTCCTCGTTGTACAGCTCGTTGAAGTAGCCGCGGTGGTCGCCGAAGCGGTCAAAAGTAGTGACGCTCGCCCCGTCGATCGGCAGGGCCTTAGTCTGGGGCGGCATCAGAGTCTGCTGAAGACGACGAAAGAAGCGGGCGGAGGGGGTGAGCAAAACTGTGTGGAGTCTCTGTGGCAATGATGTTTCACAAAAAATAACCCAATCCCCCCCCCCCCCTGGGACCCTGCGACCGCGCACCCCCCCCACATTCGAGGAAGAGGGTGCGTTCTGCAGTTAAGGGGTAACCCGGTACACGGAACCATCCCTCGGAGACGTGTTATGGCCCTGCGACCGCGCACCCCCTGGGCTAGGTAGGGCTCTCTTGCCCGCAACCCGATGCCAATCATCCGGCCCGCTGGGTGGGTGCGCTTCTTAGCTCCCCGGCCCTGGATGTGCGGTTGATAACTTCACTCCAAGTGCTCCAAGAAGGCAGGGCCATCCCACATTGCTTTCTTTCTTTCGGCTGGCACTCGTGGCGCGGGGCTCGCCTTCGAAAAGTCGGGTATGGCTCCGCCCGCAACTCTCTCGCACATGCGCGCCCCGTCGAGCTTACGGCGGGCGCGCTGCGGTCGCACGCCTCACAAGTCATATGCCACGGCGTGCGATCTAGATTCAGCGCGCTTCTGCTCGCGACATAGTCTGAGGGTTAGGTTTCTGGAGCCTCGGGTGCTTTTACGCTTTTGATCGGGTCAGGGGAGAGTGCGACTTTTACCACTTTGGTCGTCTCGGAGCGCCCAACTTTTAGCATGTTTCAAAAATTTCTTCGGCGCTGCGCGCCGCGGGTGCAGCAAGTACTAGCTATCCCTATCGTCCCGCAACGGCAAAGTAGTTCCCGCACACTATGGCTAAAAAAATGCTGCCGCTCGCCCCTCGAAAGCGCCCGCCGGTGTGTGTCCAAACATGTAGCGCTACAAGTTTGTGACACATAAGGACGCATCCTCCCACAACACTTCACCCGCTGGCTTGGTTGCAGCTGCCGAGGTACCATCTGCCGGCTTGGGGGGGCTAGTGGCATTCGCCGGAGAGTAGAATGTCCAAAATTTTCGCGCGCCTGCGGCGGCGCGACTTTTACCATTTTGCCCCGGGCGGGCCCACTTTTGTCGTTTTGCCCCAAATCTACGGCTAGCCGTGCTTTTAGCGTTTTGACCCAAATCGGCCGAACTTTTAGGATACCCTCAGACTATGGCTCGCGAACACTCACCCAATGAATTGTCACTGCCCGCGTGAGTGCGAGATAGGGCTAGCGGCTGGCCGCTAGCCTCTGAGGAGGGCGTCCATAGACACCTCACATGACCCCACACACGGTCTCGTCCGTGCCTTGCGGCTGGCGGCGAGATTGCTAGAGGCGGAGCAAGTCTGCTCTAGTCTCACACGTTCGCCCCTGTCGCCTGTCTGTGTCGTTGTGCTGTTGTTTGTGCACTAACCTTGGCACCTTTGGAGTGCCTGGCCCTGGCTGGGGGGGGCGACAGGGGGGACGTGGCCCTGAGTTATGTGTACGCCAACTCAGGGTGTGTGGCAGCCAGCTGGCTGTGTGTCTTGTGAGCCCGTTTGTGTCTGTGTGTCGCTCGTGCGTGTCGTCATCATCTGTCTCGCGTCCACCCATACCGCGCTGGTGTCCAGTCCGAGCCTCACTGTTCTTCACCTTCCTACCTAACCTAAAAAATGACGCATGGAGGCTGGTCATGACGGAATATCACTCTTCACAGCTGCCTGGGGACCCTCTGTTTTCCTTTTTGTTTGCCGGAAAAGCTTGTGTAGGCGAAGTGCTACTGCTGGCTAGGGTGCCAATGGCGTGACGGGAGGTGGCCATTGCCCATTGGCGCCACTACGCAACGATTGTTAGGCATTCTTGATACCCCACTCTTCACACAAAAACACAACCACTCTTCACACTGCCTGTACACGGCCACGCGTAGGCAGCTGCAGCAGGCTCGTACTCCGCAGCGACATGGGCAGCGGTGCGCGCCCCCTTCCGCCGCGGAGGATCGGGCACAGTTTGCGCCCGGGCCGCGCTGGCCCGACGGCGCCGCGACGCGCATCTCCTCGCCGCTTCTCCAGCCTCTGCGCTTCTCCAGCTGCGCAGCCCGTCCTCTCTCTTCTCTGCGCGTCCCACACGCCGCGTCTCCGCCGTCCCCTCCCCCAACGACTCTCCGCGTCGGAACGACGCGCAGCCCCGCTCACGGAGCCCGCGCTCGCCTGCGACAGGCAAGCCCCGCGGCGTCAACGCGGCGCGCAAGCTGCGCACCGTGCGGCGGACACAGCGCTGGGCCCAGAAGAGGTACAAGAAGGCGCACCTCGGCACGCAGTTCAAGTGCAACCCCTTTGGCGGCTCCTCCCACTGCAAGGGCATTGTCCTCGAGAAGATGTGCGCAGCTACAGTTCGGTGCAGGGAGCTCTCGTCTCTGACGCGCCCTCGACCTCCCCCCTGGCAGTGGCATCGAGGCCAAGCAGCCCAACTCCGCTATCCGGAAGTGCGTGCGCGCTCAGCTGATCAAAAACGGCAAGAAGATCGCCGCGTTTGTGCCGCGGGACGGTTGCCTCAACTTCATCGATGAGAACGTACACTACCCCCCGCCCCCAGCGCAGACGCGGGGACACCAGAGGGAAGGCCGGCAGTGCAAAGGCGGCGTGTGGGAGGGTGGTGGTGGTGGCGGCGGCAGGGTTGGTGGCTCTGGTGACTCTGGTGGCACCTCGGTATGTGAATCGCCGCAGCAGAGGGCAGTGCGCGGAGGCCTCCGCCACTTGTTTGGATTCGTCGCTGCTGACGCCGCTGGTTTGGATTCGTCGCCTGCTGACGCCGCGCCGCCCGCCCCTCGCAGGATGAGGTGCTGATCGCGGGTTTCGGCCGGAAGGGCCACGCCGTCGGTGACATTCCCGGCGTGCGGTTCAAGGTTGTGAAGGTGTCTGGCGTCGCGCTGCTCGCGCTGTACCGTGAAAAGAAGGAGAAGCCGCGTTCATAAGGGGGCGGTTCCGTCGGCCTGCCCCGCTGGCGAGGCCGCGCGCCGGAGTGGGCGCCTCGTGCGCCGGCCGTCGAGGAGACGGGAACTCGGGGGGTGTCGCTGCGGGGTGCAGACATCCACACACGAATGCGGGTTCTCCAATGTGCTTCCGACTCGCAGGAAGGTATGTGCTTGCTGCGCACGGGCGGGCGGGCGTGGGCTTACGTAATACGACGCGCTGCATTCCTCGTTTTCCGACTCGTCGCGGGTCTTTACAGTGTAAATACACTCGAAACCGTCTCCGAGAAAACTACGCGCGCTACGCCCCTGCGCGCGCCGACCGCCCACGGACGGCGCTCGGCGGCAGCGGCCAGCGCAACCGCAAGCTCGAGAGTCTCCACATATCCCACCACACTCTCGCTCCTGCGGGCTGCGTCCCCCCCCCCCCCCCCCTGTGAGGTTGGGGACCCCGGACCGGCGTGCTCCCATCCCCCCTCCAAAGACGCGGACAAAGAGTGGTGTCCCGCGAAATATGTGCCCGCCCTGCGGTGTCGGGCCGCGGTGAGGCGGTGGCGGCTGAGGTCTAGGGAGCAGACAGGAGCAACAGGAGCGGGTTCTCCATGTATTTCTTGAACGACTTGAGGTACTGGGCGGCAATCATGCCGTCCACCACCCGGTGGTCCGACGAGAGGCTGCAAACGGCGGGGTGGTGGAGGGGTCAGCCGCCGCCCCGTCTCGCAAGGGCTGGGCGGCGAGGAGCAGGGCGAGGCGGGCGGCGGCGCACGAGACGACCATGACCGACTTTGTCGTGAAGCCGCCCTTGCCGTCAGGGACAACCTTGACGTCCGCGCCGCCCACCGCAAGGATGCACGCCTGCGAGGGGCATCACCATGAAAAGCCGTGTCCCGGGATGGGGAATTTTTAGGCTGGGGTGTCTCCGCTTTGGCAGCCGCCGTGTGTGCAATAGGGTGTGTACGATCGGCTCGCGAGCACCTGCGGCACATAGCTGAATGCCCGGACCGTCTCCTCCAATCACGGCGAGTCTCGGCGACTCTCGGCAACTCTCGGCCAATCTCGTGAGCCCTTGGCCAACCTCACCTGCGGCGCGTTGATGATCGCGGTGAACTGCTTGACGCCCATCGATCCTGTGGAGGAGGAGGAGAGAGGAAGAGAGGAGGTGAGGGCGGGCGGCCTTCCGGGGCGGGGCCGGCAGTCCGGGTCGCCGATCGCGACTGCGTGTCTCGTGTGCGCTTCCCCTTTAGCCGTGAGTCCTCGGGGAATGGGTGGCAGGCAGGTCGAACTGCTCACCGAGGTTGGAGATGGTGAAAGTACCGCCGAGGAATTGCTCGGGCTTGAGCTTGTTCTCCTTGGCCAACCCCGCGAGAGTCTTTGCGGCGGCGGGGAGGCGGCGGTGAGGGGCGGCGGCGAGGGGCGGCGGTGGCGAGGTGGAGTGGGATGCAGCGAGGAGAGCGGCAGCGAGAGAGAGCGAGAGAGAGACAGAGAGGAGAGAGAAAGAGACGGGACGAGAGAGAGAAATGGCGCAACGGTGGAGGGGGACTGGCCGCCGCGGTGCCTTGACGTCCTTCGAGATGTCGAGGACAGACTTGGAGTCGGCACCTGTTCACAGTAGCCCGCGTTGGTGGGCGCCTTTCACATATCTTCAAAGACCCACCTTGAGGAGGCGGCGCCAAACACGATTGGCGTGAGCAGCCCCCGGTCGGTGTTGACGGCGACCGAGATGTCGGCGGCGGAGTACTGGCCTACAAGTCGGAGAAGCACGGACGGCGTGAACGCCACATCGCACAGCGCCTCGACCAGGCCACATGTTCGAGCATTCGTGCGGACACGGCGGCCACAGGGTTGAACACGTCGTGTCTGAGATCGCGCGGCGGCCTCCAAACGAGTACCGGGCGTGGCTTCCGCATCTAGGGGCACTCGCGGATGTACTCGTCCGTGTACGACGAGTTGCACGCGGGCACCTCCTTGAGCGCGAGCGCCGCCGCCTTGATGACGTAGTCGTTGACGGAGATCTTCGCCTCGAGCGCCTGAGAGGCGGCGGAGGCCAGGGTGTGGCAAAGGTCCGGGAGAGAGGGGGGGGGGGGGGGGGGGGGGCTCGGCTGCGTCTCGGATGCCCTCGCGTGATCTCGGCTGTATCACGAGGCTGCACGCGCCTCGTTGATTGACTTGCGCACGCCCATCAAAGCACCCATCTCGATCTCCATCATGACTGCGCAAGACGGGGAGGCAGCCGCACGCCCCGGTCAGAGAGCGAGAGGGGGAGGGCGGGAGGGCGGACGGGTGGGAGGGCGAGAGGGGCGAGAGGGTGCTAGAGAGAGCGCCGTCGCACTTCGCGGGCACTAAAGAGGGTGGCTCAGTGCTTAGAGCCGGGACGGGGCGGGTGGGGCGATTTGGTGGTGGGTGCGGAATGTTTGCGTCGCGTGGCTCCGAGCGGCGGCGGCGGCACCGTAGTAGTGGGGGTTCTCGTTCTTGTTCTTGACCATGTTCTTCGCGGTCACCTACGCGGCGGCCAGTGCGCGACGCGGTCGGACCGGAGCTGGCTGAAGGTTCAATATGTAGATGTGGTCGCAGTGACGGGCAACGCAAAAGCTGCGACCAGACGTCTGTGACGGGTGTGCGTGCCCCGCCCGGCTCCCGAACGCGGGCGCTTTAGTGTCGGGCGAAGAGTGGCCGACGCGGGGCCGGGGATGGGGCGGAGGGGCTCCCGTATCGCACCTTGCGGATGTTCGAGTTCGGCAGGTCGATGTATTCCGCACCGGCTGGCACCACAGCCGCGCCGGGCGCGGCTCCCTTTGCCGTCGTCGCCTCCTCTGCGGACGGTTCCTTGACGTCCGCGGCGATGACGCGGCCGCCCGGGCCGGTGCCCTTGAGGGCGGCAAGCGGGATCCCCATCTGCGCCGCCATCCGCTTCGCCAGCGGACTGGCTGGCACAGGCGCGCCAGCGGCTCTCGGCGCTGCGGCGGCCACCACGCCCGCCGGTGGCGGCGGCGGCGCGGCGGCGGCGGGCGCGGGCGCGGGCGCGGGCTTCGCGGGGGCCAGCTCCGCTTTGTTGCCCGTGCTCGAAGACGGCACGTAGTCCGCGAAGGCACCGACATCACCCGCCTCGTCCACGACGACGGCCACGCTGGTGCCGACCAGGACATCCTCTGTGCCCTCGGGGACGAGGATCTTGGCGAGGATCCCGTCGTCCACGGCCTCGTAGTCGACCGTCGCCTTGTCGGTCTCCACCTCTGCAATCACGTCGCCCGCCTCGATGCTGTCACCCTCCTTCTTCTTCCACGTCACAAGGTTCCCTTGCGTCATCGTGGGCGAGAGGGCAGGCATCGGCAGCAGCGAGTGCGGCGGCAGGCAGAGCCATCTCCTGCCGAGCAGCGTGCCGCCACCGGCAGCTGCTGCGCCGCGCCCGCCAACCCGCCTCAACAGCGACGTCGCGGCGCGCATCTTGCGACCGAAGGCTGCCGAGCGCAAAGCCGACACTCCCCGATTCAGTCGGGATGGCGTCCTTAAATATTATTGAAGCAGCAGCTCGCTCGCACGACACACTAGGCACGGGACTGGCGCGCACCACTGTGGGGCGGCGGCGCGCAGGCAAAGCCGTCTCATTGTTGGACAGTTTTCTAAATATGGAGCTCTACGAACATACCTGACTGAGCAGCCCCACCCATGCATGATTGCATGTCTGCTCGATGCTGCCTTCCTTGTAGGCTGTCTCTATAGTTTTCCTCTCGCAGACTGGTGATTGCCCGGCCGCGCGCAGCGCTAATCGGGCGTCCTTTGCTCCTCCGCGAGCTGCTATAAGGGCGCAAAATATACGCAGAAGATGCGGTCGAAGATGCAGTCGCCTCGTTCGAATGGCGGCGGCGCCGGCGCGCAGCGCCACGCCGCCAGGCGTCCGCCGGAGGCTCCCCGGCCGACACATCCCGGCAAGCTTGCCGCGCGCAGCGCCCCGCGCCGCAGGCCCGCCGGAGGCTCCCCGGCCGACACACTCCGGCTGCTCTCGCGGGCGCGGGAGCGCCGGTGCGCCCGCGCCACGCCACTAGGCGTCCGCCGGGGGCTCTCGCTGCGGCCACACCCCGGCAAGCTTGCCGCGCGCAGCGCCCCGCGCCGCAGGCCCGCCGGAGGCTCCCCGGCCGACACACCCCGGCCGTATTCGCTCGTCCACTCGCCCTTCTCTCGCCGCTCTTGCGCACCTCTTGCGCCCCCCTCTCCCCCGCCGGCCCCGAGAGACTTGGCACGTACCCCCCGCCCCCGCCCCGCCGCCGCCCCGCCCCCGCCCCGCCCCGCCCCCTCCCCCCTCTCACGCCCGGCA